CAAACCCCCTATGTGGGTCTTTGAGAAGCACAAGTCTTCTGCAGCTGACAAGCCCTGCCGCCCACAGGTCCACACACACAGTCAACACAGTCCTGCCCTGTGGATACCACACTGTTTTAATTCTAATAGCTTTGTAGAAAATAAATATCTTTGGTTTTCTCCCAAGATTATCTTGGTTTTCTTGGACCTTTACTCTTCCGTATAAACCAGCTTGCTAAATTCCAAGGAGCATGGGTGGAATACCTGATGGGATTTTGATTGGAATAGTATTGAACTTATAGATAAATTCCTGGAGAATTGACGTATTTACTGTAGTCAGACTTCCTGTGATATATTTCTGCGTTTATTAAGGGTGTCATCTTTGTCTTTCTGTTTGACAATATTCTCCATAGAAGTCTTGCATATCTTTTGTAAGAGTTACATGTTTTGTAAATATCTCAAAGTGTTTTTTAATTTGTTTAATTAAATTGTTTAATTCAACAAGCATCCTTGTTGAATTATGTTACTAGTTCTAATAGCTTGTCTGTTGCACCTCTTTTATTTTCCATGTAGATATTTATGTCATCTTTGAGTCGTATTTCTTTTTTCTTCCTTCTCAATCTTTATACCTTTTGACAGGGTGTTAAATGGCAGCTGTGATAGCAAGTCTTGTTGTAGAGTTCTAACTTTACAGGGAATGCTTCTAATGTTCTATGATTCAATTTAATAATGTTTATTGTAAGCTTTTGGTAAATACCTTTCTACTCCTTGCTTGCTAAGAGTTTTCTTTCTTTTAGACAGGTGTTGAATTTTTTTTTTTTTGAGAGGAAGAGTGGCCCTGAGCTAACATCTGTTACCAGTCTTCCTCTTTTTGCTTGAGAAAGACTGTCGCTGAGCTAACATGTCTGCCCATCTTCCTCTATTTTGTCTGTGGGATGCCACCATAGCATGGCTTGATGAGCCGTATGTAGGTCCATACCCGGGATTTGAACCTGCAAACCCCACGCTGCTGAGGCGGAGTGTGCGAACTTAACCACTGTGCCACTGGGCCGTCCCCAGGCATTGAATTTTATCAAATGCTTTTTCAGTTTCCCAGATAAAAAGTTTGCAGTACCAGTCTGACTCTGTAATGTTTCCTCTAGGGGGAGCAGCACATGACCTAACAGAGAGAGATCTCGAGACAAATTCAAACAGGGGAAATTTGCTAGAATCAACAGCGATGGATCCGTGTTCAGTGGGAGTGCAGCTCCGCACCACACACGAGTGCCACAAGACCTACTACACACGGCACACGGGCTTCAAGACTCTGCAGGAGCTGTCATCAAATGATATGCTCTTACTTCAGCTGAGGACTGGGATGACGCTTTCTGGGAACAATACAATTTGCTTCCATCATGCAAAAATTTACATTGACAGATTTGAGGATTTGCAGAAGTCATGTTGTGACCCATTTAACATACACAAAAAACTAGCCAAAAAAAATTTGCATGTAATTGACTTAGATGATGCCACTTTCCTGAGTGCAAAATTTGGCCGACAGCTCGTACCTGGTTGGAAGCTTTGTCCAAAATGTACACAGATAATCAACGGAAGTGTGGATGTTGATTCTGAAGACCGGCAAAGAAGAAAACCTGATTCAGATGTATGTATAGTCATTTCTTCTGCTGTGTTACTTCTACAAGGTGGAGTTTTGTTTAACTATAAAGAAATCATGTCTAAATTATTATTTATTGTAATAGCATGCAGTAAATATGAAATTAGGGAAGTGAAAATAAATGGTGTTTCTAAATATTTCCATATACCCAGATTGGATGATAAATAAAGTAGGTTTGGGAAAGGAATAACATAATATGGCCAACACTCTCAAGCTATAACTCCTAGTGCTAAGACAGTAAGAGTGGCCTTTAGAACATTCTGGCAAAGCCAGGACTTAACTATCTTAGTTTCTTTTCTGATACTAAAGTAACTCAGTGGCACATGCCACCAGCTAGGGTCTATATAGCAGGATGAATTCCTCTTTTTATGCCCAACTTGAAAATTACTATTTTAAAAGGAACATTAGAGAAGCGACTTGCGGGCTGGCCCCGGGGTTTAGCCGTTAAGTATACGTGCTCCGATACTGGCGGCCCGGGTTCGGATCCCGGTCGCGCACCCACGCACCACTTCTCTGGCCATGCTGGGGTCTTGTCCCACACACAGCAACTAGAAAGATGTGCAACTATGACATACAACTATCTACTGGGGCTTTGGGGGGAAAAAAAGGAGGAGGATTGGCAATAGATGTTAGCTCAGGGCCGGTCTTCCTCAGCAAAAAGAGGAGGATTAGCATGGATGTTAGCTCAGGGCTG